TTCCTTACAACAAAAGCTCAGATGTCGAGCATAGACAGCAACAAAAACATTACTTTGTTGTCGTAGTCTTATTCAATTTAAACTTTGATTATTATTATTAATGTTATTATTATTATTATTATTATTATTATTATTTAAATTATCATTACAGTGAGATAAAATACATTATTACAATATAAGAATAATATATCATAAATGTTATTTTATTTATTTTGTTTGTGCTTTTTTCTTTTTTTTACAACGAGACCTGGCATTCAGATTAGCGTATTGACGGGATACGTCAAAAAGCCTTCTCGACTCTGATTAAACGTAGTCCACCATCGTGAAGGAGGGGCTGTGTCGAGATTGAGGCGTGAAAATATTGTTCATAGTCGACGAGAAATATGGGGTAACCTAGCCCTGCGTACAGTGCTGTGTGTACGGGACGCATTCAACCTCCATAAACAAAGTACGGGACTTTGAAAAATATAATTTTTTTAATGAAATAGCATGCCCAGGTACCAAAAATGGTGATCGATCACCAGATATATCCAGAACTCCCAGTTCGGAGTCCAATTGTGGATGAAATCGGCTACTTTGACCTAAAAACAAACACATTCTCTTGCGTGAATGAAATTAAAAATGGCGGCGCTTGGTGGATAATTTCTCCAGTACCTACGCGTTTACATTTTGTCCGTCTTTACTAGTCGCATTTTAAAGACATTTCAGTTTCAGATAACTTTGTAATGGTTGTTACGGATAACTTCGTCATTTCAACCGATTTCGGCTGGGAAACTACTATTTTTAACTTGCGCACCAATTACGGTGCGCTCCCTCCCGGACTTTGTCTATGGAGGTACGCAGGGCTGTGGTGGGGACATCTATCAACCGAACGCGTCCCCGTACACACAGCACTGTACGCAGGGCTACTCCCCCTCCTGTTAAACTTTTTGCTTTTGGTAGCCAGGAGGTTTATTTATATTTGCAGATGCAGATGTCAGGGTAACAAACCAAAATTTGAGGAATTTAAAGACTTCGTGCAGAGGGTACAGAAAACTGAGTACTTGATTGCAAACAGAAAAGGTAAATTGGGAAAACATTTAAAAAAATGGGGAAAATTTATGAAAATTGTAGCAACGACCTAGCATATCAGCATGAATTCCTGAAAAAATTGTAATATTTTTGTGAAGACTTTGTACTTGTTTGTTGTGCAATGCATTTTTTTGGTACACATAAATGTAACTACGTAAAGTGCTCATGTAAATTGACTCAATAAAAAATGTTTTAAATACAAAAAAAAAAACTGTTTTAATTCTATAATTTCCATTATTTTGAGCAAGGACAAGGTCCTGTACCGGGACATAGTCGCTCGGTCCCATAGACGTGCATGCATTGAGACGAATAGATCGTCAGGCCCCTGTGGTCCAATCACTATGATGTCATCGCTTATATTGCTATCTTCAATCGCTTTCCATGAGTGTCCACTAAATTGAAGAAATAGAGCTCATTAAAAGCTGACTTCTGTGCGAATGTTGTGTGATATTCAAGGTTTTGTTGTTTTGAAAAAAAATGAAAATACCAATTTGCCATCTGTGAATCTAATTGTCCATTTTGTATCACAAAAACTCTGTCTGCGAATGTTCTAATCAAATGTTAGTATTCATTACTATGTTATTGTTTGGGTATTTTGTGGAACTGTGATCATCATAACTATCGGTAGTTTCAATCGTAACTTTGGAAAATAACGCTTGAGTTTAGCGATGTCAGATATTTTGTCTGCCTTTGTCATAATAGTTTGGGAAAATATGACAGAGACCATTCAAACAAGAATTTATAACAAACAGAGTACATTGTATATTTCTCTACATACTTGAAAAACTGAAGTTTAACATGTGGGGGCGCTGTCCATACATGGTGCCATGTTGCACTTCTATACCTTCAACAAACTGCTTTTACCAGTTACATTCTCTGCTAATTATACTCTGGTATTGGAAACACTGATGTTCAATACACTAAATATGTGAAATAAAGAGTAAAATACTTGCTTGGGAATACAATAATATTTTATTTAGTTTTGAAAATAAATGTGAATCTAGAATTTTGAATTCTTGTCATAAAAATCCTACTATAATCACAAGAGAACATAGAAATGGAAAACTTTTGTAATATTTGGTTTGCAATACTATATATATAATAAAAAACATGCAAATCGTTACCAGTTGCAACTAATAATTTCAACATGAATGAAATTTTATAAGACATCAGTGAACAAAAACAAACAGCTGTTAAGAATTTCAAGAATTTACAAATAAATGGTATTTAAGTATTGTGATATGTGATGATCATCTCATACCAATTGAAGCAGTCTGTGAATTGTTGATAAGAAATTGTCAAATGATATTGTCACAAAATTGCCAGTTACAAGATAATTTAGAAAAAAATAATTTGGTAAGCTATAATTATATTACCAATTAATAAAGACATTTTTTATAAATCATAAATATGACAGTTTCTATGAAGCTAATAAAATACTAATAACTAAATAACACAAGACCAACATACTCTGTGAAACCATAGAAACAAGAAATAACATGGACACCAAAAACTTCAAAGAAAAGGCACCCGTGTTCTGTGCAACATCTGTTACTAGTACACATCGTGTGTTTGATTTACACAATTGAGGAATTTCATAAAAATGTGATTCAACATCAAGAAATAAAATACCGCAGATGTTTGCCTCAATTCTCTCTTATGTTGATAGTGACTGCTAAAAGACTCAAATACTACAAATAAAATAATACACAAATATTTCGATAAAAATTGACATGAAAATAGGCAGTGTGTCAGGGAAATAATAATTACTGGTGTATTTAATAGCTTAGTAGTGCAATGTAAAGCTTATTTCTGCTGTATTTAGAAGTACATAGGTGTAGGAAGTGTAGAAAACATGTAAAGTGATAATTAACATTTAAAGAGCTATAGACGTTGCACTGCAGTGTTTTCGGAGTGGGTCCCATGCAACAAATACAATCATGGGTGAAAATACTGTTTCCATGAACAAGCATTGCACAATGATTGCGGCCTTGTATGTCACATTAATGATTAAAATATGTCAATATTTCTTGAAACTTATTCAAAAAAACTTGTATTTTCAAAATCATCATAGTTACAACAGCTGCCATGTTAAATGACACAGTTGATATACTGTGTTTTGTTCAATATGGGGGTTCCATGTAATGTGTGTAAAGTAAATCAGTGCAAGATGATGTTGAAATTTGGCTCATCAATAAAAGATGCAATGAAATCATGCTTCGAATATTAAAAATATCCATATGTGACAGTGACTGATAAATATTGACTCAATACTACTAAACACAAATTTTGTTTTAGTTGTTATGTCACAGCAAGAGGGAAGAAACTCGCATGACATTTATTGTGTGTTTTAACCAAATGTTAATTATTGTTACAATAAAATTGACTTGAATGATAATTAGAAATATTATTGGTACTTTAAATTTAGAAGAACTAAATTTGTTGTAAGACTTTCTTAGGAAGCCCTCACACATAACTTTAATCCAAACCTTGCCTGTCCAGTGCTACCCCCCTCCCCCAATTTAATAGTACATGCCCCTCTATGTACATACAATTACATTGGGGTTAGGGTTAAGAGGAGGGGTCTTAAGGAACTCTTTCCATTTTTTTTTAATTACAATAGTTCAAGAAAAAATGTGAAAAAGCAAACCTAAAATTTCCAGATCTTGCATAATACTGAGATGTTTGTTTTTTTCGACACAAGTTTTTAAGATTGACAGAATATTTGCTTGTTATACTACAACAATAATAATATATATATTTGGAGGATATTGATAAGAAATAAATAGATGATTTTTTCGAAAAAATAAATTATTTTTAGTAAAGATTGTTTTTATTATTTCCGCCCTACAGTTCAAATCAATTTATTGCCACCCTAGGTTGAAAACACACTCTGAGGCAGACAATTAGATACCAATACTAGTACAGTACATCCATTAGGTCAGGTGACAAGTCAGGTGACAAGTTAATGAACAAATGAAGCATATCTTGTGTCATCTTTTTCACAGTTTGTACCCTTTATATCTGTCTTCTCACCACTGCAAAAGATAGAGCATGTAAACAGAAGTTAGTAGAGTGCAAAGTTGCCTGTCAATTTTAGTATACATCCAAAATATTGTGCGTTCAATTTCATGAATCGCTATGACTACTACTACACAAATTTACAATTCTCTGATTTGCGAAATTTGTGATAATTTGTCTTTTGTGATTTAAGCTTCAAAGTGAGTGCAGCACGGACTATCCCAAATAACAGAATTTTTCTATTAGAAGTGCATCTTAAACAGAAGTGCACATAAACATGGTTACTAAAAGAACGGTTACGAAACTATTGTTAGATATGCTAATTACCCATTGACTTCACTTTGATGTGTGTCTAACCACTATGATGTCATCGCTTATATTGCTATCTTCAATTGCTTTCCATGAGTGTCCACTAAATTGAAGAAATAGAGCTCATTAAAAGCTGACTTTTGTGCGAATGTTGTGTGATATTCAAGGTTTTGTTGTTCTCGAAAAAAATGAAAATACCAATTTGCCGTCTGTGAATCTGAACCATGGCATTTTGTATCACAAAAACTCTGTCTGGGAATGTTCTAAAATGTTATTATTCGTTACCACGTTATTGTTAGGGTATTTTAATGTGGAACTGCGATTATCATAACTAGTTTCAATCGTAACTTTAGAAAATAATGCTTTTTTTGTTGAGGTTAGCGACATCAGCTATGTGTCTGCCTTTGTCATAATAGTTTGGGAAAATTGCTGAAAAATCTAGAGGATTAATATTTTAGTACAACGCTTTGTTAAATTTGTATTTATAATATAGTTTACTTTGTTATAATTTCTGTAAGTTAAATACTAATTTGTTGTAGAAAATTTTCAGTACGGCGATCAAAAGTCTGCGTCTGCTGATGTTCAACATGGTGACGAAATTTTGTACCCTGAAAATGCATATCGGAACATTTTTTATACCTTGAATTAGAATCTGTGAGTCTCTTATGAGAGATCTATGATAGTTTCAACAAATTTAGTTTTATTTTCACAAAGTTTGAAAAAAATGTTCTCCCAGATAGCAATATTGGTCATCTTGTTTTCTTCATGACCGCTACCAGTGGCAGTGTAGATAACACAGAAGTTGTATGGTTTCATATAGTACAGTTTTAATCTGAATATATTTTTTTTGTATTTCAGTGTTATTATTCATACCAAATCATGACAATGTAGTATAAATTGGGAAAATTTATTAGAAAAAAAAAACATTACAGAAAACCATAAACTATGGAATAGTCTTCAAACGAATATGTAATTTTATGCAAATTACGATCGTCGCAACGTCAGCAGTATGCTAATTCCCTTTGTTTTAAATGTTTACCGAGACATGCATCTTAACAAAAGAACCGAGAGAATTTCCTAACAATTCTTCTAGTAACCGTGATATAAACCAAATATTGCATTTACACTAGATCTGATGATCATCTGTTTCAATCATTGCGATTTACTTATTTTTTTGCTTCTATTCTAGATAATTATGCTCAATGTTTGTTTAAAATTGAAGCGATGACTGAATAAACGAACCTTGGCTGGCGAAGATGTATCAGGAAGTGTTCACATTTGTTGGAAGTGAAAAAAAAATATTCAATGTAATGACAACAATTGTAAAATGCTGTGTAATTTCTTTTGTAAATAAAAATATACTAGCAATTTTCTATTAATGGTTTATTCAAGTGGGCAAAATATAATGTACAGAAAGATTGCCCGTGGAGTATTGCGACACTGAAAAGTAAGCAACCGACAGCCTGTATAAAAGGGGGTCTGTGATTGGCTGTTACTTACGCAAGATTTGAACGGGACTTACATAGACGTCTGATCAGATGTATGTAGGGCGGAATTAAACAAAAAATTACAAAATCAAAATCAAAGGAAAATAATAAAATAAAAAGGCATTAATAACAAAAGTAATAAAAAATTAAATTAAAATAAATTTATAGCCAAAATAGTTAAAGCCCGTACACTACATAAGATTTTAATCAGATTGATTATGCACTATGCATATTTCATTCATTCAAGGTAGCGAGACTATTATTTGTGTTGAAAATTACGATTTTCAAATTTATTTATTAATTGATGAAATGCACCATAAACTTTCATATGAAAAAGTCAATATAACATAGAATGTCATGTAAGTTGGTTAAAATG